CCTCCCAGCCCAGAGGACCCTATATGTAAGAGTTTCATTGGGTTTTTCACCCTTTATTGCTTGAAGCTGGAAGTTAAAGCACAGGTTGGTTTCTTATCTTTCGAAGGACCTGTATAAAGTCTTAAATGGCTGTTTTGTATTAGCTGGTTAGATTGTCTAAATTAATTTACCTAATTCTCAACTGGAAGAATCCTTACAGGGTATAATTGGGATTGAAGGGAAAGTAGGAAGAAAGGAGAGGGCTCTTACATTTTTCTTACTGTGGCCTGTTCAGCGTATTCCTCCTGCTTGCCGAAGAAGTTTACCTGCTGTATTCCTTATATTCTATAGAAGACCTTTTGGCTCTTGTTTACCTAAGGGATATATAAATTGTTTTCTTTTTCAAGTATTTTATGGTGTTGAGATCTTTGGAATTAGAAGAATTAGCCTAGGGAAAAGAAGTCAAATAAAGGATCACGTAGCACTTGTTTCATATCTGCACATTGAGTTAGAGCCATGTTTATGGTGTGCAGGAATCCTGGCAGTTCCTGGGACTTCAGTCTCCCTTCTCAGTCTGGTGGGGTGTTATGTTTGGATGCAGCCCAGACTGGAGGTTGCCAGAGCTAAGATGAGAAAAAGGAATGATGCTCATACCTTTCTCAATTCCTGTAAGAAGCGCCAGCCACCTACAGGTCCCTGCAGCTATTCTGCAAGGTTTGGGTCACGTAGTTAATGGTTGTTAAATGAGCAAAGGAAAATGACTAGAGTGGTGAATGGAATTTGAAATTAGAGAGTTCTCCATGATGTTCAAGTTTATGTTAAAGATTATTAAAAATCAAGATACACTGTTCTGTTTTTCCATTTCTTCCTTCCCACTTCAAGGCCAGAGTATTTAATGAGAGCTAGAGTGGAAAGATGCTGGACTGCTACATTGTGTTATCTTGTTACCTCCTTGGGTAGTTAGAAAGGAGTTACTTCTTTTAGTCTCTGCTCTTGTAGAGCAGTTTTCTCTCAGAAAAGCCCTTCCCTCGTTATTTTTCCCCTTCCCTCTTTATTTTTCCTTCATGCTAACTGTGTCGAGAGTTACCACAGGATTTTTTTTAGTTGCTCCCGCCCAAACATCTTACTATCAAGCAGAAGTAATCACAACCTTTCACTTCTCTTGAAACCATAACATTTTCTGACAAGAAGTGCCTTTAAAGAAATGCCTCTTAATTTACGTTGGGTTGCTTTGTACTTTGTTTCTGTAACCTATCACGTTACATTTCCTGTGTGTTAAGTATGTATGTATTATGAGCCCCTAAAAACAAATATCCCAGAAGAAAGGAATTTAGTGAATGAATAAAACATTCTTGGGTAGCCCAAGTGGCAGTTTAATAGCTCATCCACTGGGACTTTCATATAATAGTGATAGCCATATAAATATATGGATAGATGAATAACTTCAATGTGGAGCTTGCTGCAACTCTGCATACCACATCTGAAATGAAATCAAACTCTGAAAGTGCTGCCTGATGTGAAGGTCCGATTTTTCTGGTGCCAACCATGAAATTCTACCTAAAAATACACAAACTGTGTGTCTGTATATATATACGTATACATAACTAAAACATGCTTTTGATAGTGCACACTCATATACATATCTCGTTTGTAGGTGGAATTTAGTGTTTCAGGACTGATCTTGATTTCACTGAACCTCTAAAACTTTGTAGACTATTGACATGACTGGATTTGCAGCAGTGTGTTTGAGATTGGGTCTTAGCCCTGGCTTCCTCTAAAAATAAATGGATCAATGGAGTGGGAGCCTAAGGTTGTCATGTTATATTGCCTGGGATATACACAACATTTTCATTAGGTTCACCTCTTCACAGAGCTTTGTAAATACCTACTTTGATGCTTGTCTGCTGTGGCAAAGTGTGTAACCTTGGGTATGGCTAAACTTAAAGTAAAGTTTTAAATATTTTTTTTCAGCAGTGAATTTACTAGGAAAACTGATTTCCTGTTATGGTGGACTTGGAAACCCAATGTTAATAACCATGAAAGATAGAGAGAAACCAGTTCAGGCTGAACTATGGCACAGACAGGAGACGCTGTATATATAAAGATATAAATAGGATAAGACAATTAATTTCCTTACTCCAAAGAATAAGAAAACAAATTTTTGGGAAGTTGCTGAACTGTAGTGAAAAAATTCTAGGTGTTCATCAATCTTCATTGTAAGCCAGCAAAAATTCACTTTCTCTTAGCAGTGGGGAGAGGCTGTTATTGTAGTATACATAAAGGATGCTGAAGTGCTCTTGGTGAAAGGCAGCAATATATTGATTTGTCTGTTGAGTGTTTTAATAATAGCACATGACAGAAGAGGTCCAGCCCTTTATTTTTTCATGAGTTGTGTATCTCTCATTAGAATTTCTCATTCCCCTTGGCTGGCTTTTCCTTGGCAGTGTACTGTATATTGGTTGTATTGAGAGCATTGTCTCCCACACTAGTCTGAAGCAACTACGTTTAGTGTCAGTACTCAAAGTGATCACATAAAGCCCCATGAAAATAAGGGACTTTGATATTTTCATACTGGTGGATTAAGTTGATGAATGTTTGTTGTGCTGATAAATCAGGTGCTACTGCTGATCTTTTAGCTGAATGCAATGGCAATAACAATAAAACATCTTTCCTAGCTGAGTAGAAAAATTCTGTCCTGGGTCTCTTGGAGGTCAGCCTGAGCTTGGGGGGAGCACAGGGAGAGCATGGGGACACCCGGTCCCTCATGTATGCAAAGCATATTGGAGAATTGTGCATATTTGATATATAAACTGTATGGGACAAGATGTTAATCCTAGTACTCCCATGATACATGCACAACAATTGAGTGGGCGTATTCAGAAAATAAACTGCTACATGGAGTTCTGTGGTGATTTGCCTGCTACTGGGGAATGCGGGTCCAGGAGGTGGTACAATCTTACATTTTTATTTTCTTTTTAAAGTGTTTCGGGTTTTCAGTTGGTATAACAGAAAAGAAGATAAGAGGGAAACAAAGCTGGGGGAGAACTACATGTGAAAATAAGTGTATTGAAAGATGAGTGCCTTGACAAACACATGGGAGAATTGATCAAATTGATCAATGTGTTAAGCAATGGGATATAGACTGTGGGATCAGGAAGTTAAGTGTTGTGTGTGGATGTTACACCACCAGTGTGATAAATTGATTGTCGTTAGTATTTGAACTGCAGTAGTCATTCAGTTACATTGTAGGTGATAACTAACATGAATTCATATTCCAAAACTCGCATGCAATTTATAGATCTCCTTTGGGAAGTTGAAATCATGTTGGAAATTGAAATTACCCCCTGTCATTAGCAACAACTTTTCCTATCCTTTTCCACTCTGTATTCTGGCTTGGAGAAAACTACATTTTTAAGCAGCTTTTAAATGACAATGAGAACAATGTATGTGTGCAGTGGGTCTTTGAGTAATTGCCTTTCAAAATTGATTTTTATGATTTTCACAAGTAGCAGTGTATGTACTGTCTAACAAAGAAGCTTATTCACACTGCCTCACTGTAAGCAGCTGCCTGGTTTCTTCAGGGTCCTTTCCTTGCCTTTCGGTGGGAAGCAATAAGCAGGACCTTGCTCCCAGCTTCTGCAGCACCCTTAAGCAACCTTCAGCCAGTGTCTCTGCTTACTCTGTCTTTATTGAACCTCACAATTTAGATCCCTGAAGTGAGGCACTGGGGCTGTTCCACAACAGCACTGTATGGAGGAAGTCTGCTTATTAATTGCATTTGAGTACTTATATTTATGACGAGTCTTTTGAAATCAATAGGAAGGCACTCACTGCTTTGAGATGGCTGGAGTGGGACAGATGGGTTTGAGACAGACTGACGGCAGTGGAGCTGTGTGTCTTATCTGTGTCCTAATTCAGCTTGGGGTTGCCAAAGTGAAATGAAATCTAAGGTGAAATTTAGTCCGTCTGAGCAAGGATTCATTTAGGCCTTTGCTGGCCAGGTTGGCCTATTGGCAGCAGGACAGATGGGAGGTTGGAGGGGGCTTTCAGCTTTCCTTGGTTGGGGTGGTAGTAGTACCCAGTGAATGGAGCGTTTACTGGACATACAGATCATACATGTCCTCATTTAGGGTATGTTGCTCAGTGCATTTGGTGGAAGGGAGTGACCATCATGACACATGCATTGTGGTATATATGCAAGAGTAGAGTTAAGACATATGAGCTATCTCAGCTGTGCTGTTTTCCTGACCTATGTCTTCACCTGGGAGCTTTATTGAGCAGTTTTATTTGCTTTGTTGTATTTTGCCTGTTCTTAGTTTGTGGGTGTGTGTATGCATATGTATATGTGTATGCAATTGCATTTAATAATCTATAATTCTTGCTGAATTTTGATTTTTTGGAGGTATCTGTAATTCAAATGATGACTGAGTAGTGTCTTTTTTATCCTACTTGTTCTTGGTGGCTCAAATTTCATCAAACTTTCTTAACTGTCCATAAAAAAGAATGGTAACTTTTGACTTTCACAGTGCTACATACCTATGAGAATCCTGTCTCCTTTCCAAACATTGGGCCTGAAAACAAGTTTTTCAATGTGCCTTAATTGGAGCTACTGATAAATAAAAACACTAACTTCTGTATGTGGTTCATCCTTTTATATAAACTTATTCAAATGTTTGTCTGATTTTAATTGTTTTTTTTCACTTTGATTATTGTTCTGGAACGTGTGTGTGTGTATATAGATGTGGTCGAGTCTTACAGAGGTTATTTTGTTAAAAAAGTATACATACATGCATACATATGTATAGTTATGTATGTGTGCAGGCATACATTCTACTCACACTTGTAAAAATGCCCAGAACTGGTGTGTGTGTATACTGTTCTCCCTTTCTGTATTGTTAAATATATGGTGAAAAGATATTACATAGATTTCATTTTTATTTAGAAATTAATCAGTAATTATGACATGTCGCTTCACAGTACAGGTTTTATCTCTTGATAAACTATTTCCTGTTTTCTCTCTGTCACAGGTTGAAAGAATGATGTGATGGAGGTGAACATGGGCCGCTGGTCGGGCTCACGGCTACCTCCGTCATGCCTTGCCCTTTTGATTGTCAAGTTCCTGGCCTCCATTTGCCAGGTAGTTGATGGGACCACCCCACTTGGCTTTCACTTCACACATTCCACTTACAATGCTACAGTGTATGAGAATTCTGCAGCCAGGACCTATGTCAACAGCCAGGCGAGGATGGGCATTACCTTGGCTGACCTTTCATGGGATATCAAGTACAGGATAGTGTCTGGTGATGATGAGGGCTTTTTTAAAGCAGAGGAAGTCGTCATTGCTGACTTTTGCTTCCTCAGAATAAGGACTAAAGGTGGGAATTCTGCTATATTGAACAGAGAAATCCAGGACAACTATTTATTGATGGTGAAAGGGTCTGTCAGAGGAGAGGACTTGGAAGCATGGACAAAAGTGAACATCCAGGTTTTGGATATGAATGACCTAAGACCTTTGTTTTCACCAACCACGTATTCTGTCACGATAGCAGAAAGCACTCCTTTAAGGACTAGCATTGCACAGGTGACCGCAACAGATGCAGATATTGGGTCCAATGGTGAATTTTATTATTACTTCAAAAACAAAGTTGATCTCTTCTCAGTTCATCCTACGAGTGGTGTTATCTCCTTAAGTGGACGGTTAAACTACGATGAGAAAAACAGATATGATCTTGAGATTTTGGCAGTGGACCGTGGGATGAAGCTTTACGGAAACAATGGTGTAAGCAGCACTGCCAAGCTTTATGTTCACATTGAACGTGTAAATGAACATGCCCCAACAATACATGTAGTAACCCATATTCCCTTCCCATCAGACAAGGAACCTACCTATGCAATTGTTAACATTGATGACCTAGATGAAGGAGCCAATGGAGAAATAGAATCTGTGTCTATTGTGGCTGGAGATCCACTAGAGCAATTCTTTCTGACTAAAGAAGGTAAATGGATGAATGAGTACAAAATCAAAGAAAGAAAACCTATTGACTGGGACAGCTTCCCATACGGTTATAACCTGACTCTCCAAGCAAAGGACAAAGGATCTCCTCAGAAATTTTCTGCAGTCAAACTGGTCCACATTGCTAGTCCCAAGAAAGAAAGTATCCCTGTGAAGTTTGAAAAGGAAGTATATGATTTTTTGATCAGTGAATTTTCACCTCCTGGTGTGGTGGTTGCAGTAGTTAAGCTGGTGCCTGAGCCACAGGGTGTGGAATACAGAATAACTCCAAGTGAGGAAGCTGAGTATTTTAAGATCAATCCCAAGACAGGCCTTATTACTACTGCTCGTCCTTTGAAAATCATTGAGAAGGACCACTATGAATTAGAAGTATATACGAACAAAGGTGGTGATTTAAAAGCACAAGTTACCATCAGGTTAGAAGATGCCAATGATCACACTCCAGAGTTCCAGCAGCTCTCCTACAGCTCATTCATCAATGAAAGTGTCCCTGTGGGGTCTAGCGTTTTGGCAGTTTCAGCAGTTGATAAAGACAGGGGAGAAAATGGATACATAACCTACAGCATTGCCAGTCTGAGCTCACTACCATTTACAATAAACCAGTTTACAGGTGTCATCAGCACATCTGAAGAACTGGATTTTGAGTCCTCACCAGAAAGCTACAAGTTCATTGTGAGAGCTTCTGACTGGGGTTCTCCCTACCGCCATGAAAGTGAGGTAAATGTCACCATATACATAGGCAATGTCAATGATAACAAACCCCTCTTTGAAAAAGTGGCCTGTCAGGGAGTGATTTCTTCTGATTTTCCTGTTGGTGGTCACATCACTGCTGTTTCTGCAATAGACATAGATGAGTTAGAGCTTGTGAAGTACAAAATAATCTCTGGAAATGAACTTGGCATTTTTTATTTAAATCCTGACTCTGGTGTCTTGCAGCTTAAAAAGTCTCTAATTAATTCTGGCATAAAGAACAGCAATTTTGGCCTTAAGATAACAGCAACTGATGGAGAGAACTTTGCTGATGCTATGTTTATTAATATTTCAGTAGTTCATGGGAAAGTGTCTTCAAAGACCTTTAGCTGTAGAGAAACTAGGGTTGCTCAGAAGCTAGCAGAAAAATTGCTCAAAAAGGCAAAAGCAAATGTGAAGCTGAATTTGGAAGATGGTTTCCTTGATTTTTATTCGGTGAACAGGCAGGCACCGCATTTTGACAAGTCCTTCCCCACTGATGTAAAGGTTTCAGAGGATCTGCCGGTTGGTGCCACCATCCTGAGGATAAAAGCCTATGATGCAGACTCAGGCTTTAATGGAAGAGTACTTTATACAATTTCTGATGGTAATGTAGATAGTTGTTTCAACATTGACATGGAGATGGGAATACTTAATGTTCTCATGCCCTTGGACCGTGAAAAAACAGAACTCTATCTCCTTAATATTACAATTTATGATTTAGGTAATCCACAGAAATCTGCATGGAGACTTCTGACTGTCACTGTGGAGGATGCAAATGATAACAAGCCCATTTTTTTACAGGACAGTTACTCAGTTAATATTTTAGAAAGTACTAGTCTTGGTACAGAGATTATCCAGGTAGAAGCCAGAGATAAAGACCTAGGATCTAATGGTGAAGTGACTTACTCAGTACTGACAGACACCCGGCAATTTGCTATCAACAGTTCCACAGGAGTGGTGTATGTGGCAGATCAACTAGATCGGGAAGCAAAAGCAAACTACACACTGAAAATTGAGGCCAGGGACAAAGCGGAGAGTGGCCATCAACAGTTTTCCGTTGTGCCTCTGAAGGTTTTCTTGGATGATGTTAACGATTGCTCTCCAGCCTTTATACCATCCAGCTACAACGTGAAGGTCCTTGAGGACTTACCAGTTGGCACTGTCATAGCTTGGTTGGAAACTCATGATCCAGATCTTGGCTTGGGAGGCCAAGTCCGTTACTCGCTGGTGAACGACTACAATGGGCGGTTTGAGATAGACAAAGCGAGCGGCACCATCCGCTTGAACAAAGAGCTCGATTATGAGAAGCAGCAGTTCTACAACCTGACCATACGCGCAAAGGACAAGGGGCGCCCGGTTTCTCTCTCTTCCGTTTCTTTTGTGGAAGTTGAAGTGGTGGATGTTAATGAAAATCTTTATACCCCCTATTTTCCTGACTTTGCCATCATTGGATCTGTAAAGGAAAACTCCCGTATTGGTACAAGTGTTTTGCAAGTTGTTGCTCGAGATGAGGACTCTGGAAGAGATGGAGAGATTCAGTATTCCATTAGGGATGGCAGTGGCCTGGGAAGATTCAGCATAGATGAAGAAACTGGTGAGTTTTGGTTCTAATTTCCTTTTTCCTTCATAGAGGTTTTTTTTTTTGCTAAAGCAAAGCTCAGGCATAATTGTTTTCTACCCATAACAAGAAGTTAATTTCTTCTTAACAGGCAAGATAAAATTATAAATAAGAATTTTCCAGGCACAGCAATGACATGATTTAATTACCTGGTTACAGTCATTACTCTGTGGATGTGAAATAATGCACATTTCTTTTCAGCAGCTATGTGATGGCTCTATTTAGAAAACAGTGATAGTTACAGAATTAGTTGCTTGCAGTCACTGTATTATCTGTTGATCATTGTAAATTACTCAGGTCACCTCCACAGAGTCACAGTAATCATGACCTTGAATCCAGTGTTAAACCCAAAGAAAGGTAATAAGGAACATGAAACAAAAGTTATTTTGTCCTAAAATCTATTTGTGGTCTTGTTCTTAATGTTGTTGGGAGTCATTTTTCATGGGAGTTAGTCTGGAATGATATACCATTCTGGGTAATATGCTTTCTTGTATCATGGAGTTCATTAGTATTGGTGTGCTTATGTAAAGGTAGAAATCCAGAGAAGGATTGGTATCTGTAAATTAACTGTGCTAACTTTGGTGTTATGAACACTGATGTTAGAAAACATTGTTAATAGAGAGAAGGTTTTTAAGATGATGAATTTTGTTATCACACCACCCTATTGGAAAATGTTGGAAATATTAAATATAAAAGGTATCTAGTAAAGCACTTAACAAACTGGCTGTTTAAATGTCTACTGGTTGTTGCAAGCAATGGTGCAGCTCTGCACCACTAGAAGTAGTGAGGAAATTAGAAGATATTAGTCAACTGTTTCAGAAATTATATTAAATATGTTAGGTCTGTGGGCTTACTGTGGTTTAAGCAGACTTTGTATGTCTTTTTCCAAAGCTTTTAATTGAGAATGTGGTATTAAACATAAGATTAAAATGTATGTTTTGGCAAATTCAAACTGTTTAATCAAATGTCAACTTTCTAAACTGAACATTATGAAAAACAGACGACATTTACAAATGCTGTGGCTTGCATCGAAGCATAAGCAGTGAAAAATATTTTTGTTCTGTTTGTGTTATAGTTTCTCTGTTGCAGCTGTGCACAGATGATGCAGTCAAAACTTTATGTCCAGAAACATCAGACTTGAGTGTCAGAAGTCAAGAAGGCACCTACTCTAATTTCCAGAAATGTTAAGCGTTCATGCCCTGCGATGCTAATAGCAGTTGAAGGCATTTGGGCAACATTATTTAGGCAGTTGAACATGGATTTCTGTTTTAAGCTCCTGCATTTGAAAATTTTATCCTACCTTATCATTGTGCGGCAGCAACTTCACCTAAATGGGTTCTATATCAAGGAATGGGGGATTGGTCCAAATGCTGCAGTATTGATCTGGAAATCTCAGGATCCAACATTGCTTGAACTTAAAGGAATTGTTAGGGAGAGTAACTGAATGCATGCCACTCATTAGTAGAATAACCAGGTCTTTTTTACCCTGTGTCTAGACTAGTAGTGGTGATAGCCTAGAATAAATTAGGGCCCTCATTCAGTAAAGGGCTAATTGTGTTTTGACATGAGTGAAATTTGTACTCAATATTCCACATTAAACATGCTTAGTTACTTTCCAAAATTAAAATTTATTTTGTAGAGGAGGGAAAGTACCCAATCCCCCCAAGATGTGTTTGTCTGCCTTTCACTCTTTCACCAGTTACATGAAAATGAACCCACCTGTGCTATTTCACCAGATTGATGCAGAAGAGACTTAATAATCCAGCAGATCAAAACATTTTGGATTCTTCGTCTGTTTTCCTCAAATGTTCAATACAAAGTAAGCCTTCATGAAAGCAACCTAGAGAACACATTGGGTGCAGAGCTGCAGCCAGGGCTATGTGAAGAGCAGGGCTTGAGGGTTTGGGAGTTACTCTAGGTCATGCTGTTGCAAGCTCAGTGCAGGATTTGACCTGCTGTGTCAAATAAAATGCAACATTAATACTCTGCTGTTGAACTGATGGCAACTTAAATGCTGCTGAATGATGAATCAGCTTTCTAGCTGTAGAAAAGGGCTCAAGTCACATATTGAATTAATTTATAAGGAGATGGCTGTTTATTTACTTTCAGTGCAGTTCATTTGTCACTTTGAAACTGACCGAATCTATTGGCTTATGTACTGTCTCTCCTGAAATTTGTGAAGGTAAGCAGGAGCGTGAAGTACAACAAATCAATATTTTTGGCTGCTACCTTAATGAAAAGAAGACTGCAGCATCCATTATAATCATTAGGATATAAACTGGGCCAAATTCATCCTGATATGTGAGCAGGCTGGACTGCAAGCAGCTCTGTGCTTTCAGCAAAATTCTGCTCAAGTGCATTGTTACCATTTTTCTGAACTATTGCATCTTAATGGTGTTGCCCCATGAGCTGTGAGATGATGTGCCTGTGCTCCCAGAGGTACATGAACACCAAGGAGGGAAAATGATGTGGAAATACCCAAGGGGAAGCAGGCCTGCACAGTGGATCCACACTATACTATGCAGCAGCACATTTGTTGTCATGGTGGCTTTTTCTTAATCCACTATAGATGCATACAGGTGCATATAGGTGCATCTGGGAAAAAAAGAAGAGGCTCAGGGGAGATCTTGCTCTCTACAACTGCCTGGAAGGAGGTTGTAGTTAGGTAAGGGTCTCTCTCTTCTCCAAGTAACAAGTGGCAGGACAACAGGAAATGGCCTCAAGTTGCACCAGAGGAGATTTAGATTGGGTACTAGGAAAACTTTATTCACTGAAAGAGTTGTCAGGCATTGGAATGGGGTGCCCAGGGATGTGGTGGGATGACTGTCCCTCAAAATGTTCAAAAAACATGTGGATGTTGCACTCAGGGACGTGGCTTAGTGATGGATTTGGCATTGCTGGGTTAACAGTTGGACTCAATGATCTTAGAGGTCTTTTCCAAACTAAGTGATTCTGCAGTTCTATGACCTAACTCCACCAAGCTTTATCTGGCTTTTGGTGTGGATTCCACAACAAGCTATTCTTCATTCAGGCTGGAACAGTGGCTCATGGTCAGCAAGCTTGGGAGTCTCCTCCATATTGGTCTATATGGTTCCTTCTGCATAATGTGTATGTGCAAATCTGGGTGCTGTTGCAGTTTGGAAAGAGACGTGCCATGGGGATGAGCCTGGGATTCCCTTCCTACAGTGCTGTTCTTTGCCTTGTGTCGTAGAGAATCGGTTTGGGGGAATATTGTTGTTACAGCATTTGCTGCTAAATACTCCAGTTCATATGTGGTAGTAACCAGAAGCATAACGAGTGTTTGCCAGCTAGAAGTGTGAATTGCTTCCAAATTTGTTTCAGTGGATTTACTTTCCAATTCCAGGAGGCAGAGCCAGTTCAAGTTCGTACATGAATAAAAACTCTCCTGAAGTAGAAGGCTTCAGTTCCTGACCCCCTGCAACTCCATCTCTGCTTTCCCATTAGTACCTTAGCCAGCAGATTAAATTTCTCATGAGTTTAGAAGTTCATGATTCATAGCTAATAATCTGGTTTAAGGCTTTTCTAGAGAGTTAAAAGGAAGAAAAGGAAGGATCTTTTTTTATGAATAGAGAGCTCTTTGTTGTTTTCTGCCTCAATGGAGATTGAGTTTGTCACCAGCCTAGGTGTATAGTTCAAACGCGTTGATTTTCTATCTTTATTGGCCTCTTTATTGATTGTTGATATGAATGTCACAAGCTTGCTATTGAACAGCCCTGCACTGAGGAACGTGTAACACAATCCTGCCATTTTTATTTTCTCAATTTTTCTTCTGAATTCCCATTCAGAACTACATTTTTTTTGTGTGTGTGTCACTCATTCTCTTGGACTCCAGAGATGTAATCTGTATTATGAAATACAGTCATCTACAGTGAGAACTACTCACTGCAGACTTCAAGTCAACAGAAAGAAATGGGCAATTGAGAAACAATTTGTTTTACCCTAATGTAAAAATATGAGATAAATTAGATGAATCATGCTCTAAAAATGTGCAAATGTCCTTGTGTGACTAGCTCAGGTAGAGGTCTACACTGAGTGCCTTGCCTTGATCAGATGTAACCTATCCCTGTTAACTGTAAACAAGAATATATGCTGTCAGGTTTACATGCTAAGTAGTTTGTGATGATTCTTCTCTATCAGATTCATGGTTTAAAGTCTCATTTCAGGGAATTATCTCTAAATATGAAACTCGCACATAAGTGCACTTCTAGAAATAAAACGTGGCCAAAAGCTTTTCAGTAGTATAGGGGATGAGAGTTAAGTATATAATATTTCTGAGAATACAATGTTAGAGCATTTCACCCTCTTTTCTATCTATAGAAATTCATCAGTATTTGATGTTTGGATATTACTTGCAGATGTGGGTGGTAACCTTCCTCTTGTGCAACTCTGGGACTGCAGAGAAGCTGGAGCCATTTCTTTGTCTCGAGTACTGCTTCCCACCTGGAGTGCTCCTACACTCTCTTTGCCAGTCTGCTAGTTGCAGTTCCTTAGAAGATTATAGTGTAAACCCATCTCCGTATCTCCAGATTGTTGTAACACAAAGTAAGCAGAGATCTGTTAACCTTTCTATGGAATGAGAGAGTGCTCTGAGTTTCCATCATAGGGTTAGCTCTAGGTAGTTATAACTACTCTTCTGGAAATGGTGTCTGTCAGAGGTCCTGCACTCATATTAAAAACCTGAATTTTCTCAGCTCTGGTGTGTGTACCCTCATAGTGCTGATAGCACAGCAAAGTGGTGTATTTTTGCTGTCTCGGGAGCTGGTGTTGAGTTGAACAAATGCGTGTGGGTTTATTATACCCCCTGCCTTGAGTGACTAAATACCATCTATCAGAACCTCTTTTCTGGCTGCAGTGAAGACTTGGACAACTAGTGAGACTTTCTGACTTCTCAGAAAGTTGAGTTAGATGAGATCAGACCTAGTCTAAATGCTGAACTCTTCCTTCTTGTTTTTTTA